TAAAAGTCAGTTTATGGCAAACATATGTTTTCAGCAACTCGTCATTAGGCCACACATTTGCAAGGGAAATGAACGCTGTATATAACAATTAAAGTTTGAATATGTAGAAGAATCACTAACTGTCTAGCATGGGCGCTGATTGGCAACTGCGGACTATGTCAGTTTGCGCAAGTAGGCCAGATCAGCGTGTTGGTTGAGAGACTGTCGCTAGTTGGTACGGGCGAAATGCTATCGCCACCTGGTGTCGGTATAGGCCACGGAAGTGAAAGGGTTTGTGTCAGCGTCTTCTGACAACACAGCACTGGATTTGCTAGCCGAATGGCTACTGCTTCAGCTATTCGTTCTTTGAGAGACGACGAACAGCATTTCACCAGCTCTACATTCTCCTTTTCAGAACCCGATGACAGGGATGACGTAGGTCTCTTATCCTACCCAAATCTGGTAAGGTTCGACTCTCTAACGCTGTTACCCAGCCTGTAAAAACTAAGGAGACTGAAGTGACCATTTCTGGTTGATTAACAGTCATCAACTAGCCATGTCAAACCCCAGGTGGTACACCACTCGAGTATTCAATCCGCGATCTGTTGCTTAACATCTAACGTTCTAACCCCCACTAAGTGTAGAATCTCATATTTTTGACCCAACTTCCTTCGGTCAGTTTGTTTAGAATAGGTTACCGGGTGAGTCGTAGGCACACACATTAAGTTAACTTATGCGCTTGAATTGCATGGCTTCTTTGACCATTCACCGTTTATAGCTCTTATTCATAAATTCCTGAAATGCAGTAAGTAGACACGTCTTGCCACATGCCCCTGCGAACGATGGCAAAACTACCTTTTCCACATGGTGCCTAAAATAAAAGTAATATGATTCACGTTTGGCATAGGTGTCGTACCACACGCTCTATGCAACGGGACTCGATCCTTGAGTTAATGCGACAGACCACATTCACTTTGTTTACTACCTTGTACGCTCAAACGCTTCCAGCGGTGGGTGCACTGG